CATCCATCCATCCATCCATCCACTCATCCATCCATCCATCCACTCATCCATCCATCCATCCACTCATCCATCCATCCATCCACCCATCCACTCATCCATCCACTCATCCATCCATCCATCCATCCACTCATCTATCCATCTATCCACTCATCCATCCACCCACCCATTCATCTACTCATCCATCCATCCACTCATCCATCCATCCATCCATTCACACATCCATCCACTCATCTATCCATCCATCCATCCACCCACCCATCCATCCATCCATCCACTCATCCGTCCACCCACCCATCTATGCACTCATCCATTCATCTATTCATCCATCCATCCATYCATYCATCCATCCATCCATTCACACATCCATCCACTCATCTATCCACCCATCCATTCATCTACCCATCCATTCACTAGTCTATCCATCCATCTATCCATCGACCCATCCACTCATYCACCCATCCATCCACCMATTTATCCATCCATCCAGTTACCCACCCACCCATTCCACACATGTGTCCATCCATTTACTGAGCACCTACTACTGGTTCTGTGTCAGGACTGGAACTATAAAGACCTACTTGGCGTCTCCCTGTCCTCAACAGTCACAGTCTGGAAAAATGTCTGAACATTCTTCCCAGGCTCAAAGTCTTTGGGACAGAGGTTGTCAAAACACCGTGTCTGCTGGTCACGGAGGCGGGGCTGGTGGTGGTGTGGCTCAGGAAGCAGTCTGTTTGTCACTGAGCAGTGGCACGTGCCACACAGCCAGGGATGGGGAGCTCTCCCCCATCTTGTGGTATGAGAGCAAATCTTCATCCAAGAGAGGGTGGAGCGGGCTCTTGGGGGCTGCAGTCTATTTGGCACGGCACCTAACGGGTGTCAAAGTGCCTTCCCTGGCGAGAAGGAGTGGGAGGAGGAGCCGTCCCCCGAACACCTGCGCTCAGCCCCCAACCACGTGCTTCACAGTCATGACCTCACAGACGGAGCAGGGGTGTCGCCTCTGCTTTATGGGCAACCAGCCGAGGTGGGGGAGGCTTGGGGCGCTAGTTCACTCAAGGTGCCATCCTGGGCTCAGACGGCCGGGCTCCCTCTTGGGCCCGGTCCCGCCCCTGTGAGGGGGCCCGAGCACACAGCCACACCAGCCGTGGCCTCCGCTCCCCAGTCCTGAGCTGCCGGGCTCCCGGCTCTCATGGGTATCCAGGGGGCCTGCTGACCGCCCAGGGCCCTGTAAGAGGCCAAAGAAGGGGAGCAGAGGCTCGTCCCAGGTGGCACTTGCTGGTCTCCAGGGAGCCAGGACAGGGTCGGAATCCATGCTGTCCCCAGCACCCGCCCAGCAGGGGGAGCGTGAGTGGGAAGGAAGGGAGCTGAGCCCAGGCCCGCGTTTCCCACACTGAGCTCCTCCGTGGCGGCTGTGTGCACACTCCCACTTCAGCCTCTGCCTCCCAAGACCCCCAGGAAACTCGAGCCTGAGCCGCGGTCCTGCTGGCCCTGGATGTCCAGCCAGCCCCACTGTGCAAACCCCTTCCACCCGCCACACCCGCTCTCAAGGACACGTGCCCAAGACAAACTGAGGTCACTTCCTGGCCGTCGCTCCCTTCCCTGCAGCACTCCCACGGCCCCTGAGACAGACCTGTCCCCACAGAGTGCCGTCCCTGGTACTGATAGCCCATGTCTGATAGCCCATGTGGCCGTCCCTTCAGACCTCAGCTGCTCCCAGCCTGCGTGGCACCACCGACCCGTGGCTCTACCTCTCCAGGGAGCAGGGGCAACCAGGTGGCCTGAGTGGAGCCAGGTGCACAGGGCGGGCCCCACGTGGGTCTGATGGGCAGGATGTGGTGCTGCGATGGCAGCTGGTGGGCACCCTGGAGTCCTGGGGATTCCAAGCCCAGGAGAGCCAGCACCTGTCCCCTGGCCCTGAGGGGAGACAGGGTTCCCGGAGCAGAGTCCTTGGCCGCAGATAGGAGCTTCGCCTCAGTCTGGCCACCACTGTCGAGGGGGGTGGGGACACTCCTGCTCTCTGGCATCTCCTGTGCTGACTCTGGTGTTTCCTCTTTCCCTCCCTCCCGTGTCCCTCTGCACAGACCAGTGCACAGTACACAGCGGCCCTGAGGCCTGGTACCCAGGACCCTTGGCTGTGAACAAGGCCCAGGCAGAGCCCGGCCGGCTCAGGGAACAGGCACGGCCTGGCGGCCCTCTCGTCATCGAGGTGCCTGAAGATGGAACTTGGGAAGGTCCCCGCCCTGGTCCTGCAGCATTGTTAGAACAGATGGCTCCTGGGCAGGAGAGGGCAGGAGCTGCAAGAGCCCCAGACGCAGCCCTGGGACGCCCCCTCCTGCCACTTCCTCTTTCTGCTGACAGAGGTGCTCTGTCCCCACCTGGGCCAGCACTGGGGCTGAGGAAGAGGAAGGCCGAGCCTGTCCCTGGGTGAGCTTGGGGACAAGGAGGGAGAAGACAGAAGCATCTGGTGAGGGGCTGTGGGTGACCTCCCAGCAGAGGAGTCAGAGCTGTGACCTCTGGCCACGGTCAATCGCACCCAAGGTCCGTGGCCGCTACCGAGGGCATCGTGACTAGGATGGTGCCCTGCTGGAGGCCACTATGACGGTTTCATTCCAGGAAAGCTGGGAGGCGAGGGAGGGTGAGGGCCAGAGGCAGAGGGCTGTGTCCACAAGGTGCCCCTCGAGCTCGCTAGTGTGCACCTCACAGAGCGCTAACAGCCCGGGCTTGAGGCAGAACGCGGGCCTCGATGATTCCTGCCGTCAGTTCAAGGACAAAGAGCCCTTGGAACAGCTGTCAAAACAGTGACTCCCCGTCCAACAGGGGGCTGCATGCCTGTCACTCCAGCAGAGATCCCCAACCCGCGCCCAGCGCCTGGCGTGATTGCTGTCACCCTGAGCCACCTGAGAAACTTGGGGAAGGACACTTTGATTTGCCCGAGATCAGAGCCTGTTTGAACTGTCTCCCATTTCCCTTCCAGCGTCTGAGGGCCACTTCCTCTCTCTGGCCAGAGGTCTCTGCGAGCCAGGCCAGGGCTGGGGTGCCCCAGAGCCTGGCCCCGGCCCCAGGCTGGTCCCAGGGCTGCAGAGCCCTGCCAGCTCCCCGGGCGGGTAGTGGCTCAGAATCCTACTTCCTGACCCTGGTCCTACTCCTGGGCACCCTCAGGGCACATAGGTCCCCTCCTACAGCTGCTCTGGCTCCTAAGAGTTGCCCTCAGTGACAAGGCCAGTGACTGATGGCCCAGCCCTGGTTTCTGAGGTGGAACCAGGCCCTCCCTGGGCAGCATGGACAGGCAGCATCACCTCCCCAGAGAGCAAAGGGCACCAAGGCAGGAGCCCGTCCCGTTCAGTCCTCGGCAGGCCAGGAGGAGAGTCTCCACCACTGCCATCAGCATGAAGCCACCCACGGGGCAGGAGGGAAGGGGACGCTCCACGGGGCTCTGTGCTGGGGACAGGGTGGGCCTGGCTGGGAGGCCAGGGCACGTCTGAGCCGAGGAGGGGCATGAGAGCACACGCACACACACACACACAGATGCATACACAGGTGCACACACATGCACATGTACACGTGTGCATACGCCACACACAGGCACACATGCACGCATAGACATGCACAGACACGCACACAGATGCACACGCATTTGCACACACACCACACACATGTACACACAGATGCACATACATGCACATATACACATGTGCACACACACCACACACAGACACACGTATGCACAGACAGGCACAGAGATGTACACACACACACAGCAGAGCCACACGTGGGACTACGTGAGGTGACTGTGCATCTCAACAGGCGTCAGATCAGGAGAGCATGTGGGCCTGTGGCCGTGGCTAGAGGAGGGCGCGGGCTCCCGTCAGCTGCCCGGGACTGGGTGAGTGCTGGTTCTGCCCGCGCCTGCTCTGCCTCCAGCAGACCCTCCCAGAGCGTCAGGGCAGCCTCGCTGGGGCCAAGGACCCGGGCTGAGCCCCGGAGGCCCTGAGCAGCTCAGGAGCTAATGCCTTCGCCAGCTGGAGCCCTGAATGCAGGTCCCCTGTCCCCTTCCCCTACGTGGCTCTTCAGCAGGCCAGGGTGGGCACGCCTCTGGGTCAGGTCTGCACGCTGACCTGGCTCCTAGGCACCCCACAGAGGCCGAGCAGGGCCACTAGCTGGGCTGTGGGCCCTGGCAGGAGATTGGGGCCCAGGCGCAGGCCCCAGCGGCCCGCAGGCCCCGGAGGCTACGCGGCAGCTCCCAAGCAGGGCTGTTAGGATGGTCAGGAAGAGGAGCCAGAGGAGCCAGGCGGTGCCCACGGGTGTAGGCTCTGGGCCAGGGAGACGCAAATCATAACCCTCTCCACTGGGGACAACCAGGGCCGGGAGACGCCCAGGCACACAGAGCTGGGCAGCTGGTTCACAGGTGCAAACAGGACTCAAGGGACGCCAGGCCCTGGGCCTGTAGCGGGGCCACACTGCCCTCAGGAGCAGAGGCCAGGAGGCCCCCCAGGTGAGGAGGTGCAGTGGGGACAGGGCAGGGGCCCCAGGGGACAGGGCTCTCACCAGAACACATGGTCTTTGGTCACGCGCTCTTGCAGAAGCGTCCACTTCTTCCCCAGGTCAGATGACACGTAGAGCTTCAGGCAGAAACAGAGAAATCACAGTTTGGTCGTGACGTCAGAAATGAGCCGGGGACAGGGTGGGGACAGCCAGCCTGAGAGTGGCCCGCAGGATGCCCCTGTGCTGTCGGCTCTATCCTACAGACACAGGAAGTGTGCATGGGGGTGGGGACAGCCCCCACACAGAGCAGCTCCTGCCCAGGCCACCTGCAGGAGCCAGGGGTGAGGACTCCAGGTGGAAACCCAGGAGCCCTCCCAGAGGAGGTGCGCTGACCGCTGACCAAGGAGAGCTTTGATAGCACTCACAGAAGAGGGGTGGGGGCAGGAGGGGGCAGGAGGGAGGGGAAGGCATGTGGAGGGGCGCGCTGCCGGCGCCCAGGGCTTCAGGAGTGGGAGGAGGTCAGGGCCTGGAGGGGAGCCAGGGCTGGGGCTCTGTGCAGGCTGCTGGCCTGGTCCAGGTGCCTCCACCCTGCAGGGTGGATGGCACGACCTTCTCCTGCTGTGGACTTGACCCTCACATGGTGTTTGAGCTTGAGGGGTCAGGCTGACGGATGGCAGGGCACGTGCTAGGCCTCCCAGTCAAGGCCCTGCTCCTACAGGGGACAGATTCTCAGCTCCTGTCTCCTCCTAGTGACCACTGCTGGCCTCTACCCCAGGAGGTCATGGCTGGGTGCCCTGAGCACCCAGTCACGGGGCAGCACCCTGGGTGGGCCTTGCTCTGCAGATGTCGGGCATGCGAGGGAGCCAGAGGTTCAACACTCATGGAGAGCACCAAGCCAGGAGAGGCCTGCAGGGGGGACGGCGTGTCCTGCATGTCCAGGCCTCCCCACGTCCCACTGGACCCTGCAGATTTTGCAGCCCCTGCCGAACACCCCCAGCCGAGGCGGGTGAGACCAGGGTGGGAGGGCGTGGCCAGGAGGCATGGCCAGGGATGGAGGCAGGGAGTCCTCTGTCCTGGCCTGGCGGACGGGAGGCAAAGGGCAGAGAGGCCTGTTTAGGGATGGGGCAGGCCCTGGGAGGAGTGGAAGGGGCAAGAAAGTGACATGGTCCTGGGTTCCGTGCCCTGGGGGCAGGGATGGGGACGGCCCTGGCCCCCAGGACGTCACCATAAGCTCCTGGGGAGGCAGCCCCTCCAGCCTGTCCTAACTGAGTGCTTTTGCCCTGGTAATGACACTGGAATCAAAGCCCTGCTTCTTTAACTCTGGAGCCACATGCAGAAAATAGCCATGGCCATAAGACTTTCCTCCCGAGCGGCTGAGTCATTGCTCAGCTAACCCTCTGTGGCCCCCAGATGCCCTATGGATTGTCACACAATCACCCTGCCTGCACCCAGCCGTCCATGCTAACCAGTTGCTGCCCCACGTGGTGGCCTCTGGGCCTTTGCACGTGTGATCCCTCTGCCTGGGACAGCATCCTTCCTCTCTCCGCCACCCAGGTAACCCCAGCCCTTCAGCGGAGCCTCCTCCCCACCCGACGCTCTGGTCTGTCGTCCAGGTGCTGAGTGGCTGCCGGGGCCCCTTTCCACGGAACCCCCCTCTGATGGAGGGAGAGACCACAAGGAAGCAGCCAGGTCTCGAGCATGCAGGTGCCTCCCCACAGCCAGGGTTCCGTCTGGCTGCTCTCTGCACTGCTGCACTGCCAGTCTGAGGGGACGGCCATAGCACCGTGCCACAGAGCTCAGAGCTGGGCTCAGACAACACAGTCGCTCCCAGTCCTGGAGGCCAGAAGTCCACGGTCAAGAAGTGGGCAGGGCAGGCTCCTCCCTCCTGGGTGGGTGGATGCAGCCTCCCCGGGTCTGCACATGGTGGCCCCTCTGTATGTCTGTCCTGGTCTCCCCTTCTCATGAGGACAGGATGAAGCTCCCCACTAGTGACCTTGCTTTACCTTACCAACCTCTGTGAAGAGGTCCACACCCAGTCACATACCAAGGTCCTGGGGTCAGGGCTCAGCACACGGACCTTGGAGGACATAGTCCTGGTACGAGCGCCACCAGAACCAGGTCCTCTGCAGTCCTGGCCCCTCCCAGGGTCCTGGGTCTGTCAGAGCACGCCCCTCGGAAGCTCTCTTCCAGGAGGGGCATTTCATTTCCCACTTCTCTGCACATGGCACGTTGCCCATGCTCCACACTGCTCTGCTCACCCTGGAAACAGAGCTGAGCCCGGGCCTTCATGGCCAGGTGCACGGGTGTTTTCTGGGTGAGTGGACACGTTTGGCTCCAGGGCAGGAGCTCATAGCCTGCTCTGTGAAGGGCCAGCCTTGCCGGCTGAGCTGTCTCTAGACCAGTCACCCATCTCACTCTGGGAAGAGCGCCATGGTCAGAGGAGGCACACAGGCCAGTGGGTGGCTACTGGCCATCACACAGGACGGTGACAGGCCTCTGTGCGCTGACCCCTGCTCAGGGCACGTGATGAGAAACCACCACCTTTGGCACATAGAAGGCGTAAGTCTCACGAGGACATGGAGCCCCTGTGTCCCTTCAAACGGGCCTGTCCCAAGGCAGAGCTCAGCCAATATCCAYAGCAGGCAGGGGACATCTTCTGCTGTCTGGGCCTGTGAGCCCCTGGCAGCAGCCGTGGTCATGAGGGGCCAGGAGCTGAGGCACATGTGTCACCTGCTACTCATTTAACACACGCACGCAAACGGACACGCACACACATGTGTGCACATACACACACACACCCACGCACACGCACAGAGCACGGCTCCCTCTCTGCGGATGCAGAACCCCAGGCTCAGGGAAACAGGCCGCTGCCCAAGGTCGCGTAGAGGTCTCCGCCCGGCAGACCTGTTCGCAGAGCCATCAGTGGCAGCCCAGGAAGGTGACCGGTCACCCGAGCCCGCCCTCTGGTCGGCTGCATGGCTCAGGCCCTTTGTGCCTCAGTTTACCCATCTGTAAACCAGGAGAGCCCTGCTCACAGCCGCAGTCGGTGGACCAAGTACCAGTCCACAGCATCGTCCCTGGGAGCCCGTGACAGAGCCTCCGTGTCAACGAAGCCATCGTCACTGTCGTCACCGCCTTTGCTCCTGTCTCTGATGTCCCCCAGGGACTTTATGGAGCATTTCCAATTCAGTCTCACGGGAGATGATTTCACAATCCACCGTCCACTGCTTCAGAAATAGAACTTTCTGCTTAATAAACGGCAAACACCAGCAATAAACAGGGATAAGCCCCGGGGACATCACAGTCCCCACAGCCCCGCTGCACAGCTCCCGTCCGCGGGGCGCAGGAAGCAGGAGGTGCTGTGTGGCAGCACCTGCCGTGTGGAGGCCAGAAGGCGGAGGGCAGAGAGGGCAGGGTCGGCAGGCGGTGCACACAGAGGCCCGGGCGCTCCCGGGGGCTGGACACGGCTGGCAGCACTCGGACCCCGTCACCCTGCACAGCGGGAAGCCGCCAGCCCCTCAGCGCTTGGACTCCCTGGTTGTTGGAGACCAGGTTGGGGACGCCCCCACGATGCCGCAGTGGGATGAGGCCTTTCCTGCCCTGGGCTTCTCTGGGGGCAGCAGGGGAGGGCAGAGGCCGTGGGGTGAGTGGGGCTGGCTCTGGGCCCGAGTCTGGCTGGGCTGCAGGGGCAGGGGCAGTGGCCACGTGGGCTGGCTGGATCTCAGCCCCAGCCCTGCGTTCATGACGTTGGAAGTCCAGGGGCTCCTGCTGCCCACCTTCCTGACAGGCAGAGGCCGAAGGTCCCGGGGTGCCCAGGCTGCAGCTCCTGGGAGACCCTTGAGGGCCCAGACTGAAGCCCCATCCGCTCCACCAACCTTTAGAGAGCGCCCGCCGCTGCCCACTGGAGCCCCTCTCTGCTCAGACACCCCGAGTGACACCCTGCCCCTGTGGAGCCCCAGCAGAGGCCAGCGGCCAGAGCGAAATGAGCAGAATCGTTCTATCACCGGGGAGAAGTCGCGTTGCGACGGGGTCCCGAAGGCTGGGGTCAGAGAGGGCTGCAGACTCTGCTGACCCTGAGTCCCTGCCAGCAGCCCGGTGCCCACCCGTCAGTGCCCAGCGAGACGTCTGGCCTCTCACCCCACATCACAAGGGCTGCCCCTTGGCACCGGCCTTGGCTTGACCAGATGCCCGCGGACCCTGCCAGGGCTGCGGCACAGCAGTGTCCTCTCACCCCCGGACGCCCGCGGATCCTGCCAGGGCTGGGGCACAGCAGTGTCCTCTCACCCCCAGACGCCCGCGGACCCTGCCAGGGCTGGGGCACAGCAGTGTCCTCTCACCCCCGGACGCCCGCGGACCCTGCCAGGGCTGGGGCACAGCAGTGTCCNGGCACAGCAGTGTCCTCTCACCCCCGGACGCCCGCGGACCCTGCCAGGGCTGGGGCACAGCAGTGTCCTCTCACCCCCCTTCCCCCACGGTCCCCTTTATGCTCTGGAACTGCCCTAGAAGGGACGCACCTGAGCCCCGGGCAGTGTCCCCCAGCGAGTCCTCCCTGACCTCCCACCCCTAGCCTTGCTGGCTCCTCTGAGTCTGGAAGGAAACCAACATCTCGGTGCTGGGAAGGGAGGGAAAACCCCAAGGTGTAAAGTCCAGCTTAAGTGTGCCAGGCTCCCGTGCCCACAGCTCTGCCCACAGGCGGCCAAGGCGCCAGCATAGGGAGCACCTGAGGGCCACACGTGCCAGCGTCACGGAGAGCTGGCCCAGGAAGGGCGGGCCAGGCCTACCCCCGACCCCAGCAGCCTTCCGAGTTTCCCAAGTCTGGGAAGAAGACCACATCGGGCTGTCCCCAAGGAAGCCTGTCCAGGCCCCATCAAAGTGACACAGTGAGGGTCTGAGAGGGGTGGGAGGTGGGGTCAGCCAGAGTGAGGGGGAGGACACAGGGGAGGAAGGGGCTCCCGTCAGTGCCCACCTGCCCACCCTGCTGACTCTGGGCTCCGCATGTGACGCACTTTGATCCACACCGTGTGCAACAGGTCCAAGCCAGCACACAGAGGATGCCTGTGCCCATCGTGAAGAGAGCGCGAGCCCAGGGAGGGTCAGGGGAGCAAGACCCTGTGCCCAGGAGCCACGTCCACCAACCCCACAGCCCAGCGGATCCCAGCCACACCACAGGCTGGACCAGCCAGCAGCGTGCGTCCAGCTCCGGGGCCCACGGCTCTGCCCACAAGCAGCCACTGGGCCGGCGGGTGTGTCACTCGGCATGTGGCAGCAGGCACCTGCCTGTGCACCAGATTGTTGGCATCCAGGCCTGGCGTTGTCCCCGGCTCTGCCGGGCTTCTTGGGAATTAGAGATCTTTAAAACCCATAAAGTCCCCAAACCTCAAGCCTTGCTGTCATTGTTATTAATTCCCACCGATTTCTCGTTCCTTTACAACCTTAAAGAAGCCTCTTTACTCCCTTTTTCTTTCCTTGCTCACAGAAAAGAGCCAAGGAAAAGAAGCAAGATTTCAGCTCCATTAATTTTTCAGGGCACCATAAATTAAAGAGCCATCGCGACGCAGGAAAATGAGTCTCCGTGGTGGTGCTCGGCTCCGATTACGGGGGAGGCCAAGTCGCGCTGTTAACACCCACAAGCACACGCCGGCCSAGCAAGGTGCTGGGAGCAGAGGCAGCCCCAAGGCCAGGGGATGTGGGACTCCAGACCTTGGCAAGGAGACCAGGCCCTGCCGACAGCGGGGCTCAGTCCAGCCAGGAGCCTCTCTAAGCAGGTCTCTGCCCTGGCTGATCCCTCCTGGCAGCCATCTGTCTTTTATCTAACGGACCTCCACCAGTTCATTCATTCATCTATCTCCCTCCCACTCATACACCCATGCACCCGTCCAGCCAACGCTACACCACCCACCCATCCACCCTGACCCACTCATCCACCCACATATTCACCACCTCATCCAGGTGTACTCCAGCTGTCTACCACCTTCCCATCACAACCCACTCATGAATCTACATCCATCCACCCACCCACCCACTCATCCTTCCATCCCTCCATCTATCCATCCATCCACCCATCCATCCATCCATCCCTCCATCCACCCATCCATCCATCCATCCCTCCATCCACCCATCCACTCACCTACCCATCCATTCACTCATTCATCCATCTACCCATCCACCCACCTATCCACCCATCCTTCCATCCACCCATCCAACTGTCCATCCACCCACCCACCTATCCATTCATTCACTCATTCATCCATCTACCCATCCACCTACCTATCCACCCATCCTTCCATCCACGCATCCAACCGTCCATCTACCCATCCACCCACCCACCCACCATTCAACCCTCCCTCTCTCCCTTCCTCCATCCACAGGACCCCAGAGGGCAGGCAGGTGGGGGCACAGGTTGCAAAGGGAGGCTGCTGCCCTGAGTGGCCTCCACCTGCCCCCCAGACCCCTGCTGCCCTTTCCTCCTTTTGCTGGTGGGGGCCTGGCCTGCTCAGGGGCAGCACTTCCTCTCTCTGATATCTGGTTGAGTCACCCACGAGTGGCCCCAGCAGAAGACTGGTGGGAAGGAAGAGAGGGGCTGGGACAACATTCCTCCTGTCCTGACCGTCCAGCCACAGTTGGCGGGGGTTGTGTTACTGTAACCAGGACAAGGCCCCTCCTGCCACCTTCCCCATGACTGCACTCGGACATGACAAGAAGCCAAAAGTGGCTTCACGGAAGCCAAGTCCTAATCCCTAGAACCTGGACTGTACCTTACAGGGCAAACGGGACTTTGCAGCTGTGATTATTAAGATGCAGAGATGACCTTAGGCTGCCGGGACGGGGCTCCATGTGAACGAGGGATGGCAGGAGACATCTCCCACACACACACCTGCACACACGTGTGCACACGCACACGCGCACACACACGTGCACACACAGTGGGTGTTGTGCAGATGGAGCAGGGAGGTTTGAAGATGCTGTCCCTGAGAGTGGCATCCGCAGCTAGAAGGCGGAGCTTGGCAGCCTCGGGGACCAGCAAAGGCCAGGCCAGGTTCTCCCTGGAGTCCAGAGGACACGGCCCTGTGGCACCTGGATTTCAGTGCAGTGGGTCTGACTTCACACTGGGAGAGGCCGGTTTTGTCACAGTTACGCTGAGCCAGACAGCCTCTGGTCACTGGTCACAGTGGCTGCAGGAAGCTGACCAGGGCCTCCTCCCCAGCCCTGGCTCCTCCTCTGGGGCCTTTCCCGCCCAGTGACCTCTCCCCGCACGGCCTCCAGGAGCTGGGTGGGCCGGCTCTGCCCGCACTGGCAGGGGCTCTCCCACCCCCGGGCCAGCCCCCAGGTCCTGGGAAGGGCTGGACAGGTAAGCCACGCTCCCTGCYGTGGGGAGGCGCCCTGGTTCCCGGCAGGGCCTGGAGGACAAGGCTCCCAAGGAGCGGATGCTGCCCTGCCTTGTGGGACACCTGGCTCCTGTTGGTGAAGGTGGACACTCATCCCAGGCAGAGGGAAAGGGCCAGCAAGACCTGGCACAGGAGGTGTGCGGAGCATTCTGGAAGTAAGGGAAGGCCCTAATGGCTAGTGTGTGGGGAGAGACAGAGTGCAACAATGTGGTGGCCAGCTGTGACCGACTGACCCCTCCCCAGGCCTCTGTGCCCAGTGCCCGCTCACCTCCACCTTCCTTAGTCCCCACAACAGTCAGGCAGCTGTCACTCCCCTACTGACACTCCCCACGCCGACACGGGCCACACACCTGTGACTAGAGTCTGGGCCTCGAAACCCCGGGGAGGCTCCCCCTGCACCAGCCTAGGTGTCTGAGTCCCACCGAGTCAGAAGGGTGCTTCTGAGCTGACATTTATCCAATAGGGTGCCCCACCCATGGGCCTGCGGCAGGTGTCCCTGCCCCGTGGACTGCTCGCGCCCCTGTGCCCCCTTACCTTGCTCTCCTTGGTGTAGGCGAGGACCTTGTCCTCCTCCTTGGGGTGGAAGATGAGGGTCTCCACCAGGAAGGCGATCGGCTGCTTCTGGAAGGTGGCGCCCTCGTCGGTGCTCAGGAAGAGGCTCTGCTCGCGGTCGCTGAGCGAGGAGCTCACCAGGATGATCTGCAACACAGGGCAGCGTGAGCCTCCGGCCAGCACGGCCTCCCCACGCAGAACCCTGGTGCCCACCCTGTGCCCAGCGCTGGCCCTGCCACGACACTGAGGCTGGACCGTGGACCTCTGCCACAAAGGAGACCCCAGCTCAGGGGGAGCCGAGCCAGCGGGCGTGTCACCGTGTACGGCTGACCCGGGGCCTGGAGGGAGCGGAGAGCCGGGGGTGGACGGGAGGGCGTGACGGACACAGGGGACACTGACGGGGGCGAGGGGCTGAGGGGGGCCGGGTTCTGATGGCAAGAGGGCCACGGTGGGTCCAGCGTGTCCCCTGGAAGGACGCCCGTGCCCTGACCCCACACCTGGGAACGTGACCCCATTGGCAATGTGGTTATGAGCTCAGTCAAGACCCTCCTGAGTCAGGGTGGCCAGGCCAATGACCGGTGTCCTCCTAAGATGACCAGATGGACACTGATATGAGAGGGGTGCACCTCTGAGTCCTGGATGCCCATGGACTGCCCAGGACACCAGGAAAAGCAGAGAGTGGACAGTCCTGTGAGCCTCCAGAGGAGCTGGCTTGCTCACACTGTGCCCTGGACGTCAGCCTCCAGGCCAGGGGACAGGAGTTCCCAGCTGCGGGGCTCTGGAGAGGTGGCCACAGGACAGTTCTACAGCACATGGGAGGTTGTCACCTGCTCTACATTCCCTCATGTCCACGTGGCTTAGTAGACATGGGCCCCCAAGGTGGCCTGCAGGCCTGGGCCCCGGCTGGGGCTTTGGTGGCTTAGTCAGACTGGGGATGTCCTTCCACCTGCCATTTCCACTCTGTGCGTCACTGCAGTGGCTGCAGTGACAGGTGGTGACACCCTTAGGAGGGGCCCAGGCACCAGGAGCACTCTGCTCTCCAAGGCCTCCTACAGGGACGCCGCAGCAGGCCTGCTCTGTGGTGCCAGGACACGCCCTGTGAGTGGCCAGCACCTGGGCGGGCAGCCGGGCAGCTCCACCCCCGGCCTCCATTCACTGAGTCCTGGGACACTGGCGTCCCTGGGCTGCATGGGACTCCCTTTGGTCTCACAGAGGGCCAGGAAGGGACAGCCAGCCTACTGCTCACACCCGGGTGACAGGCAGGCCCAGAGGTGAAAGAAGGACGTGGACATCCAGTCCAAAGTGACGCTGCCAGGGTCCCCCGGTGTGGCAGGTCCCAGAGCCTTGGGGTACAACACCCGGCCGCACGGGGGGCCGACAGGGCAAGGCTGGCCCCTGCTGGCTGGACTCGGTGTCCACCCTGCAACTTCACCCCACCGCCCACTCCACCCGCCAGCCGCTGCGGCCCACTCCCTCAGCCCCGCGCCTCTCTTTATCTCCCTCCCGGCTGCTCACAGCGGGCAGACGTCCACCCCCGGACAGCACCGTAGGCATTCTGGGGGCCTCCTGCCTCCCCTGTGCGCAGGGCCTGGCACGAGGTGGGTGCTAAGACCCCGTAAATGGGTCTGGGAACCTCGGTGCACACCAGGGCTGCGGCGCAGGGTGGGCTCTCCATCACAGCCTGTGTCTGCCCTGCCCATCCCCCCCGCAGGCCCAGGGCTCTGCCAGGGGGACCCCGAGGTGAGAGGAAGAAAAGAACGGCTGGCCGGGCGCCAGCCATCGGCTCGGAGCTATTTTGGGCCTCACAGTTGGAAGAGCAAGCAGGAGTGTTGGGGGGGGGGCAGCGGGTGGGCTGAGGAGCCCAGGAAGACACCAACCAGCCGCCAGGCAGAGGCTGGCAGATTGTTCCTCCGAGTTGGGAAGCAGGCTCTATTTTAAAGGGGGTATTTTTACTGCTTACTATTCTGGGGAGACAGATGGTACCTGCACCAGGTTCCGGGGCCCACACGGCTGGGCGTTGGAAATCAGAGGGACCCAGCCAAGCACTCCAGAGAGACATTCCACAGGCTCATTTCACGACGGCCAGTCCACTTGTAGTGTGGGCCCCAGAAAAGGCTGGACAGTGTGGGGCCCGCCGCCATCGCGGGAGGGGAGGCAGCGCGTCCTGTGTTTTGCTGTGCACTCAGGTGCGCCTGCTGGGGAGGCTTGGCCGTCCCCCCTGCTCAGACGGGGAAGCGGAGGCCAGAGTGGCTGAGCGCCTGTGGGCAGCACACCGCCTGCCCAGCTGGGGCCAAGCCTCCTCCATGGCTCACCTGTGGGCCTGCGCTGGGCTCCCTCCCCCGCGTCTGACCCGGAGCCCCCATGCCCTGTTCTGCCTTGGATTGGCCTGTGTCAGCCTGTTCCCATCTGGACCCTGGCTAGGACCTGCTGTCAGAGCCACTGTGTCCTGAGGAGCTGACGAGTCACCACCCCGGTCCACAAGGCTTCCCACCACCTCCTCCAAAGGTGGGGCCGAGGTCCCATTCTGCCTGTGGTGACTACAGCGACTCTCCACACTAAAAAAAATCAAAACCTGAAGACACCCGGCAGATGGCAGAAACCGCCCTGGCTCTGCCAGACTCTGCTGCGGGCTCCTCAGAGGGTCCACTCCCTCCAGAATCCCACCCCGGGACTTGGCTCCTTCGCCCTTCACCAACTTTAGGCCCAAAGAGTCCCTGGCCCCATGATGGGGTGCCCTGAGTCACCTGTCTGTTGAAAACCCAATTCCTGTAGGGTCCAGAGAACTTGGCCCTGATGCCCAGAGGGGAAGACCCTGGAAGCAAACCGACACAGAGCCTCCGCCCCCACCTCCCAGGGTCCCGTCCCTGCCAGGTGAGCTGTGGTGAGCCAGGACAGCTCCCCCACCCAGTGCTTGCTCCTGGCCCTGGAGAGTCCCACTGGGACGGTCAGCAAGTTTGGGTGGCCACTCATGTTGCAGGAGGGGGCTGCCCCAGGATGACCATCTGCTCCCCTCACCCTCAGGACACACGGCCTGCGTGCTTGTGCACGGCCTTGGACACACCAGAGGCTGGGGGCAGTTAGGGCCCAGGAGCCCTCAGGACCTGGCCTAGGCAGAGGCAGTGGACTGGGCAGCAGAGGGCAGGGCCTGGGCACTTCAGAGCAGTCTGGCGGCTTTGGGTGGGGGAAGAAATGCAACAGGAAGTGCAGGAACTGCTCAGCTGCTGGCGTGGACAGAGGGTGTGTGGCCCTGCTCTCACAGGGATGGGGACTGGGCAGGGCCAGTTTGGGGAGACGACCGTGAGGTCGGGCGGAGCTGCTGAGATCCTGAGGCGCACCCAGGGACAGGAGGGGTTCAGAGAGGAGGCAGGCTTTGGGGGTGAGGTGCACAGACACGTGGCTGGGTCCTGGGAGTGGACCAGCCCACCAGCGAGGTCATCTAGAATGGGCCTTCGTAGCTGTTTGGAGCAGGGGTCGTGAAGTGAGGAGAGAAACAGGCTGGGGGTGGGCAGGTGACCTCAAGAGGGGCCTGGCAGGACCGCAGGGGGCAGAGGGCCCGCAGGCTCCCGCTTCCTCCACCGCAGCCCTCGGCCGTACCTGGGCCTCTCCGGCTGGTGTCAACCCGGTCACTCTGTGGGTCTGGCCCCAGAGGCCTCTGCCTGGAGGGGTGTGCCCGGCTCCTTGTCCCTAAGTCATATTAACAATGTTATATTTTTATGTTAACTTCTAAATTCATACTGATTTTCACCAACAAATCAGACTAGTGCACATTTTTAGGGCACAACAGGACACACACGGGCAATGTGGCATGTGCACATGACGACCCCTGACATGCCCATCACCGTAGCCACTTACCACCTCAGTACAGCTGGGAGAGAGCCGTCCAGCGCCGTCCTTCCCACTCTGCAGCAGCCCAGAGCCCCCAGCCCACCCTGAACCCCGACCCTGCTCTCGTGCTGTGTCAACGCTGACTGTGGACACTCTGAAAATGTCCTTTTACATCACAGCCTCACCACGTCCGCCTCCAGAACCTTCCACCACCCACGGGGACGCTCCAGACCCGTTCTTCCCTGACCTCCCACTTGCTGGGCGTCTTCCCACAAGGCCACACCACAGGGGACATGGGCGTCTCACTCGGTGCTGAGCCCAGGCCCTGGTGCCTGCAGTAGGCGCTTTAGCGCTGTCCACTGCACGACTGATGTCTCTGAGCCTCACCCGCGGCCAGCACTTGGGGGCTGTTTGTGCCGAGCTGTGTGGGCCGGGGCTCAGGCTGCCCCTGCCCCAAGGCCCAGCTGAAACCCAGGGGGACTCACAGACCACACAGCCTCCTGGGCAGGAGGGGGAGAAACCCCGTCCTCAGCGGCTCTGGGCGGCCCAGGTCCCTGCAGGTCTCCAGCCTCCGTCCCAGGACATTGACCTCCGACCTCACGCCAGTCCTCCCTGCACTGCACAGGGAAGCTTCTGGTCCCCGTGCCCAGCCTTCCTGGACAGCGGGCTCTGAGAAAGCCCTGGTGGTGGAGGACCAAGGACTCTGACCTACCAGGTCCAGGGAGGTCCACCAGGTCGGCTCCCGTGGCCCCACAGGCACCAGCAACCCCCGGAAAAGAGCCCCCCCACACACTTGACCAAAGGTGAATACGCGTCCRGGCAGGGCGCACCCACCCCAGCCTGGGTCCTGGAGACACTCTCCAAGGCTGCCAAGCTCTGGGCACAGGAGGGGCCCTCGCCACGCAGCGCGACTGCACACCCACTTTTAGAACTCCTCCGGATCCACGCAGACCCACGTCAGGGGCCCGTGGGTGATGCCCAGGCACCCAGAGCAGGGCCACTCACAGGCGGTGGTGCTCAGCAGGATAGTGCCCCGCTGAGGGGCAGGTGAGCCGCTGAGAAGGAAGGCTGGAGGAAGTGTGCCCACAGGGCAGCTGTCACCCAGCACCAGGTGGAGCTGCACCAAGTCAGAGCACTTGCACTGGACACCCAGGCTGTGAGACGCGTGGGACCCAGTGAGCGTGCCCTCCTGGGGCTCAGACCCCGGCACACAGATGCCCGGGGCAATGATTCCAGAGGCCGTGTGTTCTGGGATTTAACAGGTAGATGACTGAGTCACATAGGTAAAGGGTGTGTGTGTCACACAGGTAAAGGGTGTGTGT